CGCTTTTTTTCTAGGTACTTCGTAGTTTAAAAAAAATTCCCTTTCTTCTTTCTATTTTCCTTATAAACGTTTTCTTTGCGTTCTCAATTTGCTTTGGTTGTTTGTGTTTTCGTTTCCTGTTGTCAATTGGAGTTTTCATTTTCCATTATGCCTCAACGCCCTAAAAGGAAGCTCCCTCAGTGTTGTAACACATGTTCCCGATATTACTTAATTTATATAAGATTTAGGGTTTTGGTGTGTGGACTAGGCGAGTTGGGAGTCCAACTTGTCGAGTAGAGGGCATTTCAAGGACGTGTGATCTCCACCCTACTCGACGAGCTGGAAGACCGACTCGATGAGTAGGCGCTGTAATGATAAAACCTTAATTTTGGGGTTTGCACCCTATATAGTCTCCTTAAGAGCCTTGAGGTTGACCTGGCATCAGCCTCCAAACCCTAAGAATGTTTGTGCTAACCCTAATCCCCATTCTCTTCCATTTTGTGAACTAGAGTAACTTTGAAGCTTAAGAAGAAGGAGATAGTGAGAAGATCCAGAAAACCAAGCACACATCCTTGAGCTTGACCATCTTGTGGACTGCTGTAAGTCTTCAAGACTCAATTTTTATCATAGAATATGGCTAGATCTTGAGTTTACTCTTTATTTCATACCCTTCTTGTTTATTACATGCATGGGGTTCATAAACTTTGCAACTTTATGAATCTCCAAGGCAAAATGGTCCCAAGGTGGGATAGATATGGCCTTTGGTCGAGCAAGGACACCATGCAAGGGTTTTTAGGGCATATTTCCTTGTTTTTATCCATTTTGACCTAAGGACATGCATTGGATATGCACGTCTATAAAGCCTCCATCTTTAGAACATTTTGAGGACTAGGAACTTTTCTGGAAAGGAGGGATTTTAGATCCCTAGAGTTTTGGACCATATGGAAAAGCTTTGGAGCTTTCCAACCTTTGAAAAGGGCCTTAGAGCATTTGGAATGGTTCTAAAGGATAAAGTTGGAAAATTTATCCTTCTAGACACCTTAGGGCTTTATATCTAAGCCTTGGAGTCCCTGGATTCGGAGTATCATCACAACAAGCAAACAGGAAGGGGGAATCGATGAGTTTCCCTAGCAACTCGACGTGTCGGATCGGGTTTCCCTGCCTTCTGAATATCAAGTGAACTCATCGAGATGATGAACCACTCAGCAAGTTAGATAGCATTTGATCAGGTTGTCTGGACTCGGTAGGAACTTGACGAGTCACTAGATGCACTCGATGAGTTGAGGTCAATATAAACTGTTAACTTTGACTGTTGACGTTGAATTTGACCAAGGTTGACCAGGGTTGACCTTGAGGGTAATTATGGGATTATGACAAGTCTATCTAATGATGCTTACAGGCAGTTGAGTGGGAGCAACACGTGGGACATATCTAGTTCTAGCTTGTCAGTCAGCATTCAAGAGAGGTGAGTCTTCTCACCATACCAATGAGTCTACGGCACCAAGGCCGACCCATTTTATTGTATGTGGTACACTAGAATTTGTAGAGATATGTGGTATGATAGTTAGCTTTGTGCTAAGTAATATGCTAGTGATTGTTTGTTATTGCATGGAAGACCCTGGGAGGAGCCCGTGGCAGTTGGATATAAGACCATGTGGGGTAGCCCATGGCGTTCCTAAGAAAATACCATGTGGGGTAGCTCATTACACGATGGTATAAGACCATGGGGGAGCCCAATACATCCTTACATGTTTATGTATGTGTATGTAGTATGTTAGACACTTATGTGATATGATATGCTAAGTTGATTATGTATGTTATTGTATGAAAGACCCCACGGGAGCCCGTAGCAGTTAGATGTAAGATCATGTGGGGTAGCCCATTGCATTCCCATGTAAAGACCATGTGGGGTAGCCCATGACACGAAGGTGTAAGACCCATATACACCTAATATATATATAATTCACATAAATACACACACACAAACACACACACACACACACACACATATATATATATATATATATAATTTACTTTTATTTATTCATAGAAGGTTCTAGTCGTCGAAAGACATACATATAGATTCTTAATTATGCTTAACGATAAGCACGGACGTTATAATTATCTCCCATTTAGGATGATTCCTTCCCGGAATTATGCATCCGCAAACAGATATGGATAACGACTCTTCATGTTTCTTTATGTCTCCCAAGTGAGGTTTGGCTCTGCCGGATGTTTCTATCGCACAACCACTAAGTCAATCATCTTATATCGTAATTTGTTCCTCTTGCAGTCAACGATTTCTTCGAGATCTTCTGCCAATCTTTTATTATCATCGATCATTGTTTCCGAAGGTGGATTCATATCAGGTTCTTTTCCCAAGTAAGTCCTCAAATAGAAAACATGAAAGATGTTGTGAATACCTTCTAGTTCAGGTGGCAATTCAAGCTTGTAAGCTTGTTTTCCCAATCTTTTGAAGTACCTTGAATAGACCAATAAAACGAGGACTTAACTTTCCACGTTTTCCGAATCTGATAAGTCCCTTCCATGGAGCGACTTTAAGTAATACTTGATTGCCGACCTCAAACTTAAACATTACAGGTCGTCGAAAAACTGAAAGTGGTATGTATCACTAGGTCTGGTCCACTATCCAATAATTCCTTTAAAATCAGTTTCAGCTCAGTCCGACAAGTATGATTCAAGTACTCACCCCTAAAATGAACACCCTTTAAAATGTTAAGAGTGACCTGATACAAGCATTGCATACCTTTACCAAAAACTGATTTCTTGGCCCGTTTAGCTTCTTTTTTTTCTTTCAAAAACAATCTTAGTATTTAACCAAACTTCAATGAATTCTTGTTTTTAACTAAATCTAATAGGTCAAATAGATTTTTAGTGGACCACTCTTTTATTTTGAGAAATGCAATGGCCATTCTAAGAGAAGAAGAAGAAAAAAAAAAAGATGACTTTTTTTTTATGGTGGTTGAAGGTGATCGAAAAGCCGTGAGAGGATAATTGTAAATTTACCTTTAAGTTTTCGTTTTGTCACAAAGTCGTCCTCTTGGTCCTATTTTTTTGCAGATATGGTCCCGCCAACTAATCACCACAGATAGGAATCATCATCGCGGGTTTCATCAGGAAAAAATAACCGCTGTTACGAACGACTATCAATGATTAAAAATAACAATAATACTAAAGAAAATAAAATAGCAAATGGACAAAATGGTCCAAGGGTGTTAGGGATGATTATGTCAAGAGTAGGTTGTTGAAAAAAGTATTATGGAGAACATCTTTAAAATTGGTTGTGGAAAATTTTGACAATACAAATTTCTTAGAACGGCCACGTCAACCTGTCTTAGACCTCACGTGAGAGGATAATCGCAAAACATTAGCAATATTGGACCTTCTATATGGAATTGCAGTCATCAACCATTAGGCTTCCATCGATGACTATTTGGAATCTCTTACTCTCTTAGATATATGACCTGTTGTTTCGACGTATATCTATATATTCAAGTTGTTGATGATATTTTTTTATTTAATAATATTTGTATCTTGTTTATATATTTGTTATTAAAGTATTATTATTCCATTTTTTTTATATTACGTTTGGATCACAAGTTTTAAAAATTAAATCTTATTAAAAGAAATTTTAGATATTTGAATGATTTTGTTAAACCACATCGAATCAATAACTACGTTTTAGTCTATCTTTTCTTTGCTTAATCGATTTAATGAAGGCATAACTTAATATGGACAGATATAAGAATGTTATGTTTACATAAAGTCCTAAACGTAAACGTGTTGAATGGAAGGAATATGGGTTTATCCATTCAACCCTCCTTTTTACATTAATGCCCTTGACCTCAACAAACACCATTCTCTAGTTTTCCAATGGTATCACAATTTTCTACGTTAGTGTGCATTACTTCTGCTTATTTCTTTGGTATCACAATTTTCTACGACCGAGATAACACACAAAACTTCTTTCTCAAATGGTTAGAAACTCGTATGATTATTTTATTGTTTCTTTCCTTTATGATTTTTATATTTATTTGTTTCTCTTTTATAATTCAACTAACAATACTTTTCTTAATCTGTTATTCGGAATGACTTTTAAAGAAAATGATAAACCGGTCATACACACCGATACACACATATGATATCATGATATCAGTCGGTTTATTTAATCCAAAAAAAAAAATCTTGTTATCAATGTAGAGTGTTAAAACATGGAGTTTTTGAGGGTTTTTTTTAGAACGCAAGTTAGTTGCAAACATTTAGGAAAAAGGGTCTTGTTCAGGCATTAGAAACTTTTAGTTTTTATTTTAAACAAAAATCTTTGAATCCAATTTCAAGTAACTTTTTAGAGCTTTTAGCTTTGGCTTTTAACTAATTTTACATTTTTAAAAGATGACAACTATTTTTACGGAATACTTTTATACAAATTACAATAATAACTTCCAACCTTTTAATTTCCAACTAACAATTTAATAGCTAGCTTTATATTCTTACAAGAATTTAATAATAACAAAACTGAAGATAAACAAAGTAAATAATCTAATTAAATGAAAAAAAAAAATCGTTTAATAGTAGAGACAAGAGAGTATATGGTGGATGTCATGTGTCAATGAGATGGATGGTGAGTGGGGTGGTGGTGGTGAAACTGATGATGATTGAACATGGATACCTGCAAATACAACCACCAAAAATAAACATTGTAAACTTTATTCCAAAGTTTCCTCTTTTCCTCTTTCTTTTTCAAAAACAGTGTGTGTTTCCTAGTGTATTTGTGTTTATGTATATGATGTTTTCAACTTTCATGGCCCCACCACATCAAGAAATCCAATACCCAGGTGTCGACTTTCATCTCCCATTTTCATCACCATCTTTTGCATACACACAAACACACAAAAGCTCATATTCAGACCTTACCCTTTGTCGTTATTTCCCTAATTAATCTTCTTTCTCCTCCTCCTCCTCCGCCTCCCACCACCACCATTGTTGAATTTCACTGTCTTAAATGGCTGCCATACACTAAAACTTCCTACTTTCCTCAATATAATAAGTGTGGTGGTGTTTAATCCATCTGGGTATCCCTCTATCTCTCTCTCTCTCTCTCTTTGGTCGATTTAGGATAACCTTTTTTCATCTTTTCTTCTTTTTCTTTTTCTTTTTATCTTTCTTTTGTATTCATAATTAAGCTTATGCTTCAAGCCTTCGACCATAAAACTTTTTTCTTTGTAACAGTTTCTTTGAAGAAAAGTCTTAGGGTTTTGTCTGGATGATAACAATTTTGCAGAAAATTTCATCTGGGTATCCGTTTTTGAGCAAAAAGATTACAAAGTAGAGATATCCACATTGAAAGCTAAGATTTAATCTCTGCAAAATTTGGTAAAAAGTAGTGTTTAGTCTTCATCAAGGTGTCAATTTTCTTTTTGGTTGAAAATTGGACTTTTAGAGTTCACAAAGTCTTCAATGCTAATGAGCACATTCTTCAAACAACTGGATTGCAAATCTCATTAGAGATCAAAAGAGAAAAAAAAAGTTTGAAACTTTACTCGGTTAGACACCTTAGAAAAGTCAAAATTGGAACATATTTTTGACTTTCTTTAGAAAATATTTGTCAGCTACTAAGTTGTTCTTGTTGATATCATCAAAGGGGTTTGATTTCAGGTATTTTTTTTTCTTGTCATCATCCTTGAATTTTGTAAAATCATATTTCTTTTCTTATTTTATTTGTCTTATATATCGCTTAGATTTCAGGTACTGTTTTACATAAAGAAACTGATGAATCTGTTCAATGTACAAGTTTAAGTACATGATGTACAGTTTTCTTTAAATAGTAATATTTGTATTCTGGAATTTATCTTGGAAATAGATACCTAAATCGGTAGTCAATAAAATGCTGATTGCATGATTTTCAGAATTGAGAATTGTTCATCTGGACATCTGGCTTCATCTTACATCGTCACATTTGATACCCACACATGCAAAATATTGTCCTTTCTTAAAAAAATTGAATTTTTTATTTTCTTCAGTTAATATAATTTCATTCCTGCTTAATTATCAGGCTGTTAATTTTCTGAAGAGAGGTCGATGATGATGAAGTTTAAAAACTCCAATGTTCTTATGGCAAAAAGATCAAAACTTGCTCAGAAAAATAAAGATCGGTCAGGCTGTATGTCGGGTATTGTAAGCATTTTTGCTTTCCGCCATGGCCGGATTACCAGACAACTGCTTTCAGATCATGCTACACACATCACTGAAAGTACCATCGGTAAGCATTTTCTCAAATATCTCTTTTGAAAAATCATTCATTCATATATATAGACGATAATTAATGTGGGGGGATGATTTGCATACAGGTCCTTCGTATCCTAATTCCGACGTGAACTCAATTACGGATTCAGAAGAGATGATGCATCTTTGGATTGAATCTCAGAACGTTGATCAGAAAGCTAAATCGGCTGTGAAGGAACACATGGAAGAAGAAGAAGAAGAAACGCATACGCATGGCGTTTTAGAATGTGAAGAGAACCACGAGTCTATGGATTATCGTCAAATTTCTAAAGATCAACCAGTTCCATCTCAATATTGTCACTTTGAAGATCTAATGAACGAGCTCTTGTTGATCCATAAGAAGAAAAACGAAGAATTACAAAACCCAAAATCACTGGAAAGATCAAACTCGTTACAGAATGAACGAAGCAATCCAAGATCAAACGACGCCGTTTCTCGTAAACACCGGAACTTCTTCAGAAGAAGAAGCAAGTCTCACGAATGTATATCCTTCGAGAACGATAGCTCTCTTCTACCTTCAAGCACGAGCAATGGGTTTCATAACGAAAGAAGTGTTTCCCAATTTTCGTTCTCGGAAATCAAGAAAAGACTAAAGAACGCCATTGGAAGATCAAAAAGGGATTTAGGAGAAAAACCAGTTGTTGTTGATGGAAGAAGGAGTGGACGGAGTTCACCGCTAAGAGACCATTTCTACTCTGAAAGATTTTCGACAATGTCTAACGGGTTTAAGATTCAAGATGGAGTACTTTCAAGATCATTCAAATACGAAACAAAATCGAGGGAATACGAGGGATTTGGAAACACGAGCGAAAGAATTTCTAACATCTACGTTGAGGCAAAGAAACATCTATCGGAGATTTTGAGTAACGGAGATGAATGTAAAGATTTGATGGTGGCAAGGCATCCTAGAACCCTAGGAAAGCTTCTATCTTTTCCAAATTACGACTCTTCTTCTGCAGTTATCGATCATAAACACGAACCAGAGCATGAGGTCAATGAAAGTCAACCTTCGGTAACATATGACGATCATCAAGAACTTAAAGTTTCAGATGAAGTTCATGAGGCTGAAGGTACTGTTTTCATAATTTCCGATCGTCTGAACGACAATATTGTTATGACATACATTAATTACTTGATTTACATTGTTGATTCTCGATAACTCGAATATTGCAGATGTTATAGAAACCATAAAACCACATTCGCCAGAAGAATCCGAAGTTTTTGATGCATCGGTAACGAAAAACATCTAAACTATTAGATTTCTTATTTAATTCGGCTTCGTTTTTCATAATAATTTTTATTTGGTTTACAGGATTCGACCGAAGAAGAAGAAGACGACGAGTTATGTTGTTCTCCAATAACATCCCCTAGAAAAACAGAAAAAATTGAGGGTACCTTAGATGATAGAACCGAGAAACCTAGTCCCGTATCGGTTCTCGAGCCATTGTTCTCAGATGACGATATTAGCCCAGCCAGAACCATTTCTCGATCTGGTAAAAAAAATTGCAGTTTTTGTCTCACTGACATCTGTTAGACTGGCTCAGTCTAATGCATATCAAATACAGTACACCCTGTTTCATGCTAACTCAATTTTATTCACATTTTCTAGGCGAAACTTCAATTACACCACTACGTATCCGATTTGAAGATCACGTTACACCAACCGAAAATCAAGAAACATCTATCCATATTCTTGTTGAAAACGAGGAATCAGCATTTGAGTACATCGAAACGGTTCTTTTAGCTTCGGATCTCAATTGGGATGAGTTTGAAGAAAGATGGATTTCTAATGCTAAAATATTGGATCAATCATTATACGAAGAACTACAAATCTTTTCGAGTCAACCCGTTTGCGATCAACGGCTTCTATTCGATTCCACTAACGAAACTCTCAAGGAAATATGTGATCAATCCTTGGGTTTGTTTCCCGAGTTACCGTTTTTCAAAACAAATATGTATCGGATTCCGAAGGGAGTGGAATTGATAAATGAGGTATGGAAAAGAATCGAGTCATGTCTCAACTGTGTTTATCTTCGGTCGTTGGATCAACTTATAAGTAATGACATGGACATATCGAGAATGTGGATGGATCTTTGGTTGGGGACTAGGGAAATAGTTATGGAAACCGAAGAATGGATATTGGAGGATTTGATCGATGATACCCTTTTAAGCTTAATGGATATTAACTAATTAACCTTAAAGTGATAGGTAACATAGTTGCTACTTTTTGTAATGGTAAAAACTAGAAAGTTTTAAGTAGTGATAACGTAGATTTATAGCTTTGTTTGCGTGGAGAGTGTGTTGTGACTTGTGTAGTGTGCGTGTGTTTTGTTTTTTTTTTTAATATATTTTTTGATTTTTTTTATCCCTAGTTTGTAATCTGTAACTATATAATAAATGAGATCTCATAATAAATGATGATATGTTTTTTTGGTGAGTTCATTATGTGTTTAAGTTTCATATAGAGTATATAAACTATTTTGTTTCAAAGTATTGATATATTCTTTAACGATAAAATATTTGAGGGATTCCAAATGCTATATTCATTTTAGATTTTAGATCAATTAAGCTTAACTTTTCGTTACATACTAGTATACTACCAATTGTTGTAAAACAAAAATACAGATTGCAGATACATATATTTATTTTATTAGTTTATAACCCTTAGAAACTACGGTTATAAAATTAATTAAACTTTTATAATAAAAGTTCAAAATTATTAATTAAGTATTTTAAATAAATTATTAATTATGAGATATTTTTATTAGTTATGTGAAATTATAATCGTTGATTCAAATAAATATATAAAATTAATTTTTAATATATATTAGACATTTTTTATTTGTGAATTAATGAAAACAATAATATAAAATTTAAAATTTAAAATGAAGAATAAATATATTAGTAAATAACATCACATTAATTAGAAAGTTTAATAAATTTAAAATAAAAAACTAATAGATTAACAATAACATCATATTATCACATTAATTAAGAAAGATTTAATATAGTCACAGATAAAATACCTAGTCTTTTATAAGAATAAAGATTATTATTATAATAAGAAGAAGAAGATAAGAAGATAGGAAGATTTGTTAGGCCCAAATTTTGATCCAGTTGATTTGGTCTAATGGGCATATCGGCAATTCGAAAGCGAACAAAACAAAGGCGCCTAATTCCTATGCCTAAACAAGAGTCCACTGATGACGCTCAATCGCTGACGCCCCGAATTCCGCCGTTCTTCGATTTTATTTAAATAAAGTAATCGATTGGAGCCCGTATTTCTGATTTCTTGCAACCCTTTTATCTGATTTGCAGCAGTCAATCACGATTCACAAATCGATTGGAGCCTGTATTTATGATTCCTTGTGGTTACTGATTTCTTGTATCTCAAGTCTAAGTCTGATTTCTGAGTTTTTTGATCGACAATCACGCATCCACGCCCTCGGAGGACGCTGGAAACCTAGAAAGACTAATATCTGTTTCTTTTGATCATTTCTGATTTCATGTGATTACTAATTTCTGAAAAAGAGGAAGCCGACTGGACGAGGAGTACTGACAGGTAATTTTCTGATCTCGTGTGATTACTGAATGTCTGTACATTTTCTGATTTCTGGATTCTAAATCTCTGATTGCTGCACATTCTTTTGTTGGCAATTTGTGGTCTGAAAGATACAGTTGGATAATTTCGGGTCTGTTTTGAAATTTCAGTTTGTAAAGTATAGTATGGACGTATGGTCATTCTGTTAATTTAAATTAATTTGTTGTCGTTAACCATTGCTTCAAATGTCTTTTCTTAATTTTTGGTAAAAATTGTCATTTTGTTTAATTATTAGTTTCATATATGCTAGGTTTTCATTTTTCACATCACTTTGCGTCAAAGTTCGGACTATTTTTATCATCAACTTGAAATTAAAACTTATTTTAGGTTTTGTTCTTCTTCGATTAAAAAACTGTTTGGTTTTAATTAAGACATGAAACTTGTTTCATTAATGGATCACAAGTAGTAGGAAATTTTTATAATTTTTGAAGGGAAATCTTCTGATGAGTTTATTGTCTGTCTAATTTGCATTTGTTAGGAGATGGAGATGTTAGGAGACAATCGGATTGAAGACGTCCGTTGGCTATGTTCCCTCTCAGAATCCGAGTTGGATCTTCTTGTCAGCCTGAAGGAGATGGCTATCCAAAGGGCATCTTTTATCGGACATGAATCTTTGGCCAACAATTTCGACTTAAAGAAGCTTAGAGATTTGAGTTTTCTGTTAATGCAAGTCCCAAAACAACAGTTGAAGGAATCTGTTGATGGATGTGTGGAGAGATTGAATGTAGCAAGACAAGAAATTAGTGAAGAATTTAGAGAAATGGGTGCAGAAGAGTTGATGGGTTTCATTGGTTCAGATAGAAAGAAAAAGATATCTGAGTTGTTTGGTGATGATTTTCTTACAGGGAACAAGAAGAAGAAGACGAAAAGAGTTGGGCCTGTAAGAACTTCATTACAATGAAAGGATTTGGCAACTTGGCCTTTAGGATTTGGATTGATGTTATGCCATTGTCATCAGTGAAGCTTAGTGTTCATGGGTTTTGGGTGACTTTCTTCAATGTCAAATTCCTAAGTGGCTAAACACACATGGTCAAATTTATTGCCACATAAGCATTGTGATCGGATGACTGCGTCATATTTTCAATAATGACTTAATTGACATTGTTTTTACAAGTTTAATGACATATTGTGCGAAAAAAATAACTTTAATGACCAATTCGGGTAAACACATACTTTATTGTACTATAGTGATATTTTCATATGTTTAAACAAATAACTTACACTCATGATATTAATGGATTAAAGGTTACTTGGTTAAAGTTGTTCATAAACTTTGTTTTAGTTTAGTGAAGATGTAGGAAAAAGATAAGGGCAAAATATCCATACAACATTTGATGGAAGTCTTTTTTCTTTATAGGTGTGTAAACAAGCAGGATTGGTTTGATAGCAGGATAAAAGGGGTGATCATTTGGTATGAAAGAGTCTAAAATGAAGTTTACGAGTTCAAATCCAACGTATTTGCCAATTGCCATTAGAAAAATATGATTACCATACCTACTATGTGTTGTAGTAATCCAACTTTTTAATAATGTGATTTAAGATGTAAGCGTTTAAATTTAATTTTGACAACCTTTTAATCTATTTTATTTTTACTAAATTTTTAATTTTTCCATATAACAGAGTTAAAAAATTAAAAGTTGAGCTGTTCACTAAAAAAAAACCATATTTAGAAGCTAAGAATATCAAGATAACCATATTTTCATAATCTTCATAGCCTACCACACATATGACCACAACTAACGTGAGAAAAAGTTGATGAATTCGCAAGATCAAATTTTCATAGTCTATCACAAATGACCACAACAATAAAGAAAAATGTACGAATTTGGGGATCACTTTTTTCTTACAAGAAAAAACTTCACAAAAGTTCGCGAGTTTTTTATAATTATCTTATCGTGTTACATTTGTGAAATATGATTGTCTCCCATGCACACTTATCGTGTACATAAGCCGATAAGGTATGTTGATTACAACTAAAGGATGCTCATGAGGCATTCTCATAGTTTTGTTATTCAACAGGGAATTAGTAATCACTCATGATTAGGGGTGGAATTAGTACGGTATCAATTTATTTTTCTCTAAATCATGTACCGTACCAACTATAATTGGTATAAAAAAAATTACTACCGGTACCGTACCAAGTATACTTGGTATCAATTTATTTGACTACCAATAAGTTTGGTTAGTACAAATTAGTAATGGTATATACCAACTTCTTTTAATTTTCTATTCAGATTTAAAAATAAGCAAAGATATCGGGATTTTGATGTGTAGTATAGAAATTAGTTACGTAATTCTTTTAGTTTACAAAAGAATTCTACTGAAGTATGCTTTAACATGGTAATAACTATTCACTAATACGATCAAATGACTAATATAATGTTATTAAAACTGTAAAGACTAAATACAATTTTATATATATATATATATATATATATATATATATATATATATATATATATATATATATATATATATATATATATATATATAATGAATTGGTTGGTACAGTATTATCATGGTATTCCAATTTTTGTACCATTACGGTACCAGCATTGATCAATTGGTGTTGGCTACCAAATATATTAGCTACCAAGTTTCTTGGTTTGATTGGTAACATATTGGTTGGTAACATATTAGTTGGTTTTCCATTGTACAATTTTGACCGTCCTACTCATGATTTTTGTTTTGATTGTGTTATTGACATAACTTAAGTACATCGATTATAATAAAGTAGATAATAGGTAATCAATTGTGATACTTGTTTTTTTCTTGAGGACAACATATGTGAATTGATAATACTTGTTAAATATAAGATTGAAAAAGTCTATTTGGTTGATTCGAAGAGCTAGAGATGTGGCAGGGTTTGGAATCCTACACAATAGTGTCGACACTGGCTACAGTGTTGATTGATCTAATACTAAATGGTGAACTGTGTAGTGTTTTTTGAGAATAGTGTAGGCAAGTGGCATTTGTATTGTTATAGTGGCAATATGTGTAACGAAAAGCCCTAGAACCGGTCCTGGAAATGTAAATATTATTAAATGCTCAGTTTGAATCACAGAAAAAGAGTCTCTATTGTTATTATAAGTTTTTATTTTTAAACAAATGTATATATAATATATAATAATAAAAATTGGGCTCTATGTAGCTGTCCACTTTGCCGTCCCTCAACGACCCCCATGGAAAAACCAATGAATCAGCGTTGGAAGCAGAATGTTGGCTGAAAGGAGTTGATACACTGAAGAAAGTTAAAAGTGTGTTTGGTTGCGGAAAATTTCCTAGTTTTCCATAAAAAAAAATCAAATGAAACTGAAAATTTTAAACACGCGTTTGGTTGATTTAGTTTTCAAGATTTTTACAAGAAAATTAAAATTTCTTTTTTCCAAATTGTATATAAATTAGAAAAGTGATTTTTACAGTATTCTAAAGTTTTCTAAATTTCTAAAATGAAAAATAGAAACTCTATCAGTTCTAACAAAAAACATTTTCTAAAATTTTCATTGAAAACTAAAAATAAAAACTCAATTCTATTTTTTGAAAACATTTTATTAGAAAATAACAACAGTTTTCTACAACCATAAATCGATCAAAAAATATGTACGAAAAATAGATTGTTGAGCCATATGCTCGTTGGTAGTTCTTGTAAAGGTTATAAGTGTACTCACCAATTAAAAACAATGTTTCGTACGCAGGTTCGGTTCTGAAAAATTAAATGTTATTTGAGGCTTAGGACGAATAAGAAAAAAATAACTCTTATCTTTATTATAATTTTTTACTTTTATATATATATATATATATATATATATATATATATATATATATATATATATATATATATATATATATATATATATATATATATATATATATAATTAAAAGGATTGGGCCTTGGGCAGTTGTGATTTTCGCAATGTGTAATATAATATTTGTTTTATTTGCAAAAATACGTGTAACGGTGTTGTCATAATTTGTTTATAAATTAAAAAGAAGTTTGGGTATTATAAACCATTTTGGTATTTTTTTTTTCCTATGTTTGTGTCGATAACTAATGAATTCATTGATTTCAGGTACATCACCACCTTCACCACAGGTAGATCCCCATTTATATACGTAATATCGACTTTGACACTAGCCGTTTACCCGCGCTAAGTGATGAGTACGAATAATCTCTTTCAAAAATTAGTTTCAAGAAACTATTAGTTTTTCTTTTACGCAAATAGTTTTTTATATCTAACAATTATCAATAAGTGTCATGCTAGCAGAAACGAAATCAGTCGGAATTAAAAATGAAAAATTGAGATTATTTGCAAATATATATGAACACTTGATTGATTGTGCATTATTAACCGTGCAATAGTTCTTTCTAATGTGACGAATAGTTAATTCGGTGAAGTGGTCTAAAAGTGTTTATATGTCATAGTAGTCCATCCTTAAAAAAAATACATTTTAAATATAATGTTTTGACAATCTAATCTTATTTTTTGTAATATATAAAAATTAGTTACCATGGACAAATAATTAAAATTGGTTTTCATTTATAAATAAGTTTCCAATATAATTATTTGCATTCTTAGAAAAATAAGTACGCTTATTTGATACTATGTGATTGTAATATTACATTATATAATATTCGACTATAAATGTATGACATTTTATAATATTCGATGGTATGGTTACAACTGTTTATTATCAATAATAATAAAAACACACATAATTCCATTTTCTTTAGATATACGGTTTTTCTTTTCTTTTTATTGTTTAGCTTATTTTAATGAATCCATGAAACAATTTTATTTTTTATCATTTAATAATGTACCAAACATATTTTAATAATTGCAATCACCACATTCATAGTAAAAGTGTAGTTACAGTGTTCCACCATTTGAATCATTTTAAAAAACTTATGGATTTAAAATATTATTTAGTGTCAATTATCCAGCTTTGACAAAATACACTTTAAGACTTAAAAATACTTTTGTTGAACTTTTTTAGATTAAAAAAATAAAATGATCTATTTAATATTTGATAAGTATTGTTTAATTCCCATGGATGTTTGATTTTCCCCTTTAATCATTTCGTTAAGTTTAGACATTATAATAATATTTATTATTGTCGGTTAATTTATAATATTATCGGTTAATTCATAATATTATCAATGTTATTTGTGTTTTCCCCTGACAATTCTATTGTTTGTTTCCTGTGTGTTTTCAAAAATTAATTTGGCACATCATATAAACATAATGTTATTAAAACAAAAGTTTCAACGGTTAATTAACACCCTTTAACATGTCTATTATTGTCAAAAGGAAGTTGCAACTCATTAAATAATACTTAAAATACAATATTCTACTAATCTATTATCATCCAAACATATATTAAAACCAATTTGATAATCATTAACCATGCTTGTTAGACAACTTCAACATGAGCATGTTTGCGTAAATTTCGTAAGCTCCTCCGTTTTAACCAACAAACTATCATCAATAAAAAACAATCCAACATCCACGTGCAACATTGACCATTAACTACTACTTAACACATTTGCATCACGAAGAGAAGTGACAATAAAAAGCATAAAAAGGCATCATGACATCACTACAAAAACTAATGAGTTTCTCTTTTTTACCAAATTTGTTTATGTATATGGATAAACAATCATCATTTTTTTTGGAAATAAAGAAAATAATTGTCATTGCACACACATAGAGATAATAAAATGGGCACTTTACCCCTTTGTGTGTGTGAGAGAGAGAGAGGTTAGTTGCAAGTAATAGCAACTTACTTCCTTACCCATGAATTAAAATAAAAAAATCATCCTAATTATACACAGTTAGACATCTTATATTTAGTTTACCCATTAAAAATTGCATAAAATGTCACATGTACATGTCACTCAGT